GATGTCTACCTGTCACTACCTGTCACACGACACAGCTGCTATTAGCAGAAGAAAAGCTCAGACCTAATAAATTGCCAAAACTCAGAGTCTTGTTAGTTTAAGTTACTTGCCAATGTACTGTAACTTGAAAAAAAGGAAGGATGCACATATTTATTGCTAAGCTGGGGAAATTGCCATTAAGGCAGTTGGCAGAATAGCTGACATTTTAACAGTCATAGGTCAGATAATTTTCTACATCTATCCAAGAGAAGATTTGACCAAGGACTGACAAAAAAATCAAGTTATTCTGTTCACTTGGCTGCATCTAAATGTCTCATTTTCAGCTTACAGGAAAGATTATATGGAAGCAATCTTTGACGTTACAACAGAGTGACCGTAAATTGCTTAAATAACTGTTGGAACTTCGAATATAAAAACACAGAAAAAGTCATCTGAGGTAGAACTCAGAACGGATTTTTCACTTATGTTTTGTTCCTTACGTAATTTATAGCTTAAGTTTTATATTAAGACATGTTTTAAATCAGCATTTACTTAGTTACACAGAAGGAGATTACTTCCAGGTCACAAGGAAAATCAGCAGCCGAGCTGAAAACTGAATTCTTAAGTTGTAGTTTCCAATGTTTCTAAGTTAGAAACAAGTGCTAAGTTTTCTTTATTCTCTTGTGGCAAGATAAAGAATGTATAGTCAGCTGGAAAGTTAGAGATCAAAAAGCACTTTCTGTGGTTTCCAGAGCACCAAATTCCTTTCACAACCTTAAGTTTCTCATATTATGACATTTCGTTGTGTAAAGCAGTCCATTGCTGATAAACACAAACTCCTCTTAGTCCTTGGAACAACTTGCCTTTTATTATGAATTTAGTTGTGGAAATCAGTCTTTTGCCAATAAACATAAATTTATATTAGTTCTAGGATCAACATTTTGAGAGGGGATAAAGTAGGGATTGTCTAAGCGTTTTTAAAGGAATGTTGGTCTAAAATAGCTGGTAGAATAAAAATATATTGTACAAACTAAAATAGGGCAAAAGAGCTAAAATGTAGTACATGGACTAAAATAACTAGCAGTTCACATGAGTCCAAGTGCTAAATATGTAATTATATTTCCCATTACCTTATATGTACAAGACTTGTTTTAATTTTTAAATCCTACATTTTACTCCTTTTATTGTTTAAAAAAAAATGTAGAAGAGCCATTGAGTCTAACAGTGTGAAAGTTTTGAGACTGCCATTTTAACTCACTGATTGACATTGTAGACCAGTAGGTAGAAATGGCCATTTATTGATTGTAGATGGTTTGAGTCTCCAAATTGAAAATGAATTGAGCTAGATTTATTATTGTCTGTCCAACCAACTCCCTTCTGCAATATCTTCTAACCCCTTGGTACTTGTAAAAAACCTCTCTCAATATCCCCAGGAATGACTTAACAAATATTCCATGTAGATGCAGTCGTCATTTCGGTGTTTACTAATGTTATGAGTGATTGTTGCACATCCTACAGCGGTTAGGAAAAGAGAATTTCAGGGTGACCTCTGATTGGTGTTAGTGTTTGTTTGATCCAGTAACACTGACGTCCTTGCTCTTTCTTGAACATTTTGGCCTGCATCTGCATCAACCCTTTTTATACTTTCTGTTCTCTTTGCCTGGGATGTTTCTCCTCCACATTCCACATGATTTTCTTCCTCATCTCTGCTCAATTGTTGCCTTATCAGATTATTCTCTAAAGGAGCTAAACTCTGCCATTTGAGAGGTTTGAGCAAAGGAGGATCATAATCTGACTAATGTACTGAAAGCATTGCTGTGCCTAGGGAGACCAGAACAAGCTTCCAGAGGAACAGTGGCTGAAGCAGTTGGGTGTGATTGCAGTGATCTAGGCTGGAGATGGCCCTGGCTCAGATCAGGTGGTTTTGCTGTGGTGAGAAGTGGTTGGACTAAGGATCTATTTTGAATATAGAATCAACAGGATTTTCTGCCACTTTGAACATAGGATGAACAAGAAAGAGAGGAGTCAAGGATGCTTCTGAGGTTTTTGGCCTGAAGGAATGAAAGAATGGAATTACCATTTACTAAAATGAAGACTAAATATCAAAGGAAGGGAATCAGGAGTTTGGTTTCATTCATGATAGTTGGATAAATGAAACAAGTTAGGGAAAGGTCTGGGCAGAGATGGAACATTTGGGAATCATCAGCATATAAATGGTATTGAAAGTCTTGAGCCTAGATGAGGTTACCTGGAAGTGTCAGGAAAGGAGAGAGGTCTTGAGGCTGAGCTGGTGGTGCGCTCCAGCGTGCAGTGGCTGGGGAGGCTGTAGGGAGGGCTAGTGAAGTAAAGTTAAGCCAAGAGAGGGTGGGATCCTGGAAACCAAGGGGAGAGTGTTCCAGGAAAGGAGCAATAATCAGCTATGTCAAAACGCTGCTGAGAGAACAAGTACTAAAATGAGCACTGAGAAATGACTGTTGGATTTGGCCATGGGGAGGTCATTGGTGACCTTGATGAGCTGTTGGGGTTGACTGGTTGGGGGGAGGGAAGGCTGACAGGAGAGGGCTCCAGAGAGAACAGTAAAAGAAGAAATATAGACCAGTCCTTTACAGGAGGTTGTTTTGTAAAGTAAAACAGAGAAATGAGATGGGACCTGAAAAAAGGTATGAAGTTAAGAAAGACTATTTTATTACATTTTTTTCTTTTTGGTAAAGACTTTTTAAATGATGTTTGCATACTGATGGGAGTGAGTGGGTAAAGAGGGAAAAATTGATTATATAGGAGAAAGAGTGGGGACAGTGGTTGGGAATTTGCCTTCTTTGATGAGTGTTCCTTCCTCTGTAGCATTGTACCAGCACTCAAGGAAGACTCTTCTGTTCTTCCCACAGCCCCCAAATTCCTGCTGGGCTAGATTCCCCTCTCATAAGCTCCCATATCATTCTGTAGTGCTTTATGTTGTCCCTATACTCACATCTTTCAGTATATGAGCCCTTGTACTTAGGTTGAAAGAATCACACTCAATAGGTGGTGTTAGTTGTAGAATCCTCTAGGAGCTTAACAAAATGCCCAAACCATACCTTTCTAGTAATCTCAGACTTTAATAGAATGTAAGAATTTTATTTGGCTCTTTCACAAACCTCTTCCTCCCACCCACCGTGGTGAGCTGTTTGTATATCCTTGGGTGGCTCCTAATTATTCTTTCAAGTAGCCTGCGTGTATTGGTGTGCCCTACGACTAGCTGCTCAGCTCCCGTGGATTCCTCCTGTTTCTCACCACTGGTGTTTCTGGTGGTGCAGTGGCTTCTGTGAGTCTGTCTGGCTTGCCTCAGCATTGAGTTTGTCCATTCAATTCTCTCATTTCTGCTTTTTGTGTCATGGGGTTGGGCTTGTGGCAATGAGGAAGTGCTCTGTCCTTAGCCTGAGGTCAATGTAAGTTAAAGGATGTTGTAAGCAGTAAAACAACGAACCACCATGCAGATGGTAGTTAGCCATTTCATCTTTTGAGCTCAAGGTTTATGTTTGTGTTTTCAGGGTTTTAGGTCAGCATTTAAAAATGGCCGTCAGTTGTTAGGGTATTTGTAGAAAGGCGTGGTGATTGATGTAGAATCATCTGTAAGAGATATGTAGGTAGCTTATGTGCCTTCATCCACTGATGCATAAAGAAATATTTGTAAATGCTTGTTGTGTTGAAGCATGTGTTTTGGGAGTTTGGGGTGCTTGTTTTTATTTTTAAGGGGGGAGGCAGTGTAGATATTGGGAGCTCTTCAGTGTTCCCAAAATATAAAAATGATAGCGATCCACTCTTTTTTTTTTTTTAAAGATACTATTCATTTATTTGTTGGAGAGAGAGAGAGAGAGAGAGAGCTCAAACAGGGGGAGCGGCAGGCAGAAGGAGAAGCAGGCTCCCTGCTGAGCAGAGAGCCTGATGCAGGACTTGATCCCAGGACCCAGGGATCATGACCTGAGCCGAGGGCAGCTGCTTAACCAACTAAGCCACCCAGGTGCCCCGATAGAGATCCACTCTTTAGAGTAGTTCTGGATCATCCCCGGAGTTCTTTGTTCAAACAGCATGTCATAATGAAACCCAGTATGTCAGAATCCCAAGCTGAACTGCAGGTTTGGAGTGAGAGAGGTTGGAAGACCCAGGACCCCACCAGCTCACCACCCTACTTTGTGGTCTTTGCAGAGGTTCCTTGGAACCCCTAGGTGTCTGATAGCCCAACTGGAAGGCCCCTTCTCCACACTATGACAAAGTTTTTTAAAAACAATGTGACACCTTAGCCATGCCCATCATAAAAAGGAACTCTATGATTTCCCATCATCATAAGTTGAGAGGAAAACTTTTTTCTTTACATGGGTTTTTTTTTTCTTTAAAAAAAAGTAGAAGTCATTATTTAGGCTTGGTTAAATGTTTTAAATCTCTAAACCTCTGTACATCTTTCCTATGGAGACTAGTTCATAGAATTACTGAAAAAATTAGTTGGTGATAATGATGTTAATAGATTGTTCAGGAAATTAGAATCTTATTTGGGGTACCTACTGATAGACTGCTTTCTCTGGGCAGAAGTTTGATCTTTGTATGTACTTCCAGATGCACTATAAAGGATAGTGATATATGTCAGTCGCCTGTGGGTTATAAATCTTAGTGGTCTGAACGCTTAAGTAAAAAAGAAATGGATCAAAGGGAGAGGTGTTTCTCTATTGCTTGGATTAAAAAAAAAATCATACATTCATGTATTCTTTTTACACGTAAAAAAACCCAGAAAGGTAACACGACATTATAATTTTATTGCACATTGAAAATGCAGATTTAAAAAGTTCTAATTATGTTTTTAGTAGTGAATAATTTAAGAATTCTTTTTGATCTTTCCTTGCTTTTCCAGCCTTCTTTTCTTGCTAATGTTAGGAAACTCAAATTGAAAATGCCTCCAGTTTGAACAGATTGAACTTGTGGCCTTGGCTATAATTGTCACTTCACAATCAATTTCTTATTTTAATCTTATTATTATACCTTTTGTCCTACAGACTGGTGAATTTTCAGCTCGTTTCCTTTTGAAGTTGCCAGTGGATTTCAGCAATATTCCCACATACCTTCTCAAGGTAAAAATATGTGATATAACATATGAGCTTTTAAATGTAATTATTTAAATGTAAATGAGCTTTTAAAGTAGTTATTTAACTCTGAATATTTGCATGATTGGCATGCCAGCATCTTTTTCAAATAATGAATTTATTAAAAGTATTTATTATATGAAGATTCACTGAATTTGTTATCTGCAAACTAAAATAGTAGCCCTAAAAGTAATTTCAAAATGAATTTTCCTTATAAGGTAAAATTAGTAAACTAAATTTGGGGGAAAGTCACTGTTAGTAATCTTACTGGGAGGAAAGACTCTTATGGAAATTATCTAATAGGCATTCTGGGGGCGCCTGGGTGGCTCAGTCATTAAGTGTCTGCCTTCGGCTCAGGTCATGATCCCAGGGTCCTGGGATCGAGCCCCACATCGGGCTCCCTGCTTGGCGGGAGGCCTGCTTCTCCCTCTCCCACTCCCCCTGCTTGTGTTCCTGCTCTCGCTGTCTCTCTCTGTCAAATAAATAAAATCTTTAAAAAAGTAATAATAGGCATTTTGTCTTTAGGTAGGATTGCATATTAACTATGCTAAAGGGCGTCTCATTTTCCTTATTTATGTCAGCAGTTCATCTCAGGCACCTTCATAGCTGGGCTGTCGAGACTCTCTTTAGACCAGTGTATATGGCATTGTTTAAAAAGTGATGCAGGCAAGGTGTGGCTGGGAGAGCAACCACCTTGGGGCAAGGTCTACAGATGCTTTGTACAGAAGAGGCAGAATCCAAGTGACTAGGCTACAGTTAGTGTAAAGGAAACCACGTGGACCAGGGAGCAGGTTCTGAACAGAAAGTCTTAACATGAGGCCTAGATTCATCACAAATGAGGATTTTGGTTGCAATTTAAGATGGTAGCTGTCCTCAGCCCCATATTTCAATCTGTAGTTATATAGCTTTAGTCTAATGTAAGAAAAATTTCTGCCTTCCTAATTTGATGTTGTTCAGAGAGTTAATGGTATTTAGAACAGTCTAGAGAGAAGATAGAAACCTCGTACAAGTTTTCCTGTATATTATAGTAGTCACACGTAATATTAGATATTAATCTTGATAATGATTAGAAGTATGGTCTGGTGGAATATAAACTATGGACTATAGAAAAGATTAAGGAACACTTTTTTTTATACATTCCACTCAAGGTGGGGAAATTATTTTCTTTTTCCCTAAGTAAAACATGGGATTTTTGTGCCTCATTAAACTTTCATTTTTAGTTTCCAGTTGACTAGTTTTCCACTCCATATCCAAGGGTTATGAAGTCCAAGTGAGAATGGAAGTCAGCAATTTATATTAGTTTCTCCACACTCATGTTGTGGTAAATATACATATGAGATCTGTGATTACCAAGCACAGTTAATTTGGTTTTAGCAATTATTATGCTCTCTTAGAGTGGCAAGCAGTCTCCTTGGTAACTCTTAGCTCACAGACGCAGTGACCTCCGTAAATTCCAGTTAAAACTCGATTTCAGCTCATTTAAAACCAAATTCAGTAGTATGTAAGAGTATATTATTTATATAATCACTTTAATCCATAAATTTACAGTTACAGTATCATTGTTTTGATTCGTTGGGCCTTATCAGTTTGAATGGTTGTCTTATTTGAACCTAACGTTGCCTCTGCTCATGTTCTTGAAGGTCAAAGGAAAAAAAAGCCTTCTTGGATTCTAATCTAATTTTTTTCTCTTCAAAATCAAATTTCCATATTTTCTGTTCTAAGAGTTCTACCTTTTTTTATTATGTCCTTACTTTCCTTGCCGGTCAGACAGGAAAAAGTGGAGCCTATTTGGCACAATGGGAAAGTGTTCCCCCTGCACCCCCCAAAGTACGATGAGATGACCTTTCTACTATAGATGAAATGCCTACATTGCGGCACTGATGTCTTTCTGGACTTTTAGTCTGTGCAAAGAGAGTAAAGCAACAAGGCAAACAAACAAAAAGCAAGAAACTCTTGTGTAGCACAAAACAACCGGGAAAAAAATACCTGCGTCCCAGAAGGAATCCAGAATACCTGTTGAAAGTTTTAAGATCTGAGTTCCTAAAGTTGTATCATAACCGTGGAACATTTGGCTATACCACTTTGAAAACTCAGTTTGCATTAGGAACTGATTTACATATTATTAGCATTTGGATGCTCCTAATCTGATTATCAGGATGCTATCGGTAGTCTCAGTCCCAAAATAAACTCTTCAGATTCGTAGGATGAGGCTACTGTTCACCAGCATCAGTGTAGTTTTACGTTGCCATCCCCAAGAAATGAAAGGTGAAGTAGACCTTTTAAGTATTGGAATAGCATGGAGTTTGACTGCATCCTGATTTGCTGCAGTGAGATTTCATTATGCCATCATGAAGCCATCATCCACTTACAAGTTTATATTTCCAAGCATACGTCTTTTATCCACTAATAGAATTTTTTGATGTTAGAATGAAAAAGCCATTAAATATTCAGTGATATGATTTTACTTAATATTATGCTTCAGGCATATATGGTTCTTACGTGGAATAGAGTGAATTTATTCTGAAAATGAGTCCTGACTTCAGTGTCTAAATTTTATTCTTGGATGAGCTAAGTCAGTGGGTTAGATAAATCATTTACATAAGAACTCAGTAAAAAAACCAAAACTTCTGTATTAGTTAGGATTCTTTATTTGTGGGTGGTGGAAATCCAGCACAAACTACTATAAATGAAATGGGACATGTAGCTCAAATCCTCTACTTCCATAGTCCATATAGCAGGAAACGGATCCCATGTTGGATAGTCTACAGATAGGCATAGATCAGCTTTCCTGGGTCTGTCCCACTTGGGCCAGGTCCGCACCCTTGAACTTCTCAACTGGTAGGTTTATGTTGAGAAGTTGTGGTCCCCAGAATAAAGGGGGGATTACTGAAGTGACAAAAGTGTAAGATTCACTACAGTTACTAAACCAGAGAAAGATTGTTTATTCCTGTTATGTTTTTTCTTAAAGAACTAGTCATGAGGCTGACTCATATGTCATTAGAAGATGCTGCCCTTGATTTTCTTCAGGATGGGGTGAAAATTGACTTATATATATTCTTGTCTTTACTCTTATTCTGAGAATTATTAAACCTGAGTATGTGATGCAGGAAAAGCATTTTATTTTTCTTCAGGAAAAGCATATTCCATGGTGAGATAACTAAGGAAAAGTTCTAGTTGTCTACTAAAATTTTTTATCATCTGAGCAAGAAGTACTCAGAAACTCAGAATATAGTGTTTGGGGGAGAGGAGAAGCTTACTTGTAAACATGGTATGTGTGTGAAGTAGCCTCTTAAAATAATGAGCCTGTTTATTCAAAATATAGTCAAGTTAAAATTTTATAGTTAGGACCCCCCTCAGCATCCCATACAGAAATATCTAGGAAAATGGCAGTATCTCACTGCACTACAGGGCTAAATAGTAATCATTTCCTGCTGATAGTGGATGTGACAAACATAACCTTTACAAAATATCAGTGCTGACTTTTGTTTGTTTGTTAAGACCGTAATTGTTCATATAGTTGTCTTAGTTCATTCAGGCTGCTCTAACAAAAACACCATAGACTGGGTGGCTTAAACAACACATATTTATTTCTCCCATTTCTGGAAGCTGGAAGGCCTAAGATCAAGTCACCAGCAGATCCATTGTCTGGTGAGGGCCTGCTTCTTAGCTTGTAGACAGCCGTCTCCCCACTGTATCCTCAAGTGGCCAAGAGAGAGAGCTTCTCTCTCAAGTCTCTTCTTGTAAGATCTGCTAGTCCCGTCATGAGGGCTCCAGTCATGTGACCTGATTACTTCCCAAAGGCCCCTTCTCCAAATACTGTCACCTTGGGGATTAAGCATCATCATACACATTTTGGGGGGACACTAAAAATTAATTTTATTTTTAAGATTTTATTTATTTCAGAGAGAGAGCATAAGCAGAAGCAGGGGGAGGGGCAGAGGGAGAAGCAGGCTACCTGCTGAGCAGGGAGCCTGATGTGGGTCTCAATCCCAGGACACTGGGATCATGACCTGAGCCGAAGGCAGACACTCAACCCACTGAGCCACCCAGGCACCCCTAAAAATTCATTTTATAGCAGTAGTCTAAGTAGTTGCTGGGAGTGTCCCTACACTTGGTACCATGGTGCCCTAGCCCAGTCCAGAGGTAGGACCATAACCAGTTTGCTGAAATACTTGGGCTTCTAGTTTCCATAGGAATCTTCTTGGCATCGTTTAACTTCACACAATTTGAAGGACTGCTTGCTGCAGTTTAGTCCCACTGTGGCATCTGAATCATAACACAGTATGGAAATGAATTGAAGGTGAAGAAGCTGAAGTTGGCCGTCTGTGTCAGGAGAAGAGGCTCTCAGCCTTCCCAGCCTTCTTCAGAAGCCACCATGGCTAGACTGATCAGGCAGGGCACACTCAGGTGGTGGCACACAGGTGCCTGTGTCAAACAGACGCAGAAAGCAGGAATTAAGGTCAGGTTCTCAGAATAGGTTCAGGGGCCCAGGACAGGCAGAGGGTCTCAGGGAGCTACCCAGAGTGGAATCATACATGGTCTACGAAGGTCATTAACCTGGAGGAGAACCTCTAAGGCGACTTGTGTGCTGAGGTTATCCTGCATAGGAGCTGCCTCCCCGGTCACGTGGATGTTAGCAACCCCAGGTGCTCACGGGGCCAGGTGGGCCCTGAGAAGGAGGGAGTCTGGCTGGCTGAACTACTGTAGGAGACGGGGAGAGCTGCAGGGAGCCAGCAGGCGTGAGTTTCAGCTAGAGCAGTGGTTGCTCTGCACCTACACAGTTGTGGCCACGTGAAAGGGCCCTATGGTGCCAGATACGCAGATGTTATTAGAGGGAGCCAGGAATCTCAGGGCTTTTATCATATGAAAAAATGGCTGCTTTTTAAGTGATGGCAGTGGATGCATATTTTTTTAAACTACTTCTGGCCAAACAGAATGCCTCTGTGTGGTGATCATGGCAGCCTGGTAGCCAGGTGGGCTGCACAAGG